TCAAGTGCATGCCAACAAAAACATTCTTATTTAGGGTTGTATGCAAATAAACACGTAACTGTATTACTTAAGTCCTTGTAGGGAAGAACATGTCTGAAACAACAGCTTTCAGTACTGAACTGAAAGCTGTTCACCAAAGGAAGTTCCATTCCCCAGTGTCTCCAGAACTGGAATTTGTAGATTAAGCATGCTTTGCTGTATTTTCTTTCCCATCTCTACATGAAACTGCAATATACACCTAACCTGCATCTCAATAAAGGGCTGTCAGTTTCCAGCAAGAACCTGCTACATATTTTGGGGCAAGGCTGGAGATTTTTGCAGTCACTTAAAAAACAAGATGGTGATTATTAATTTATGAATGGCAAAACCACTTAATCTAATGAAGGAATTCCAATTTATTCCTTGTGGGTAGTGTTTAAAGGCTAAGATCAAACAATACACTTAAGCTAAAGGGCACCTTTTGATACAAATCAAACAAAGAAGCCCGCATCTGGAAAAAGGAACGAAGAGAAGCTTCTGCACTTCTGAAGTGAGGTCTATAGAAGAAAACGTTACAGATAAACAAGAAAAGAATTTGTAGAAGACATCATTACTTATTCTCTTTGTACCGCAGGGAGAACTAAACTGCATTCTGAACACAGGAACCATACCCACTGTACTCCCAAGCATTACTCTACAACATAAGAACATTGCATATCTAGGATTCCTGGACTGCTCCTAGATTCACATCAGCGAGAAAAAGCAATGGCACAACCACAGAGAGGGCAGAGCAAGAAAAACAGTAAGGTTTTCCTTAATTAGCACCCTGAAAGAAAAAACAAAAAAAAAAAGATACCTACAACAACCTATGACATCAGCCAACACGAGAGCTGGGACCTTCCTCATCACCTGCAGCGCTGCAATCAGCTCCACACCACAGAACCAGCTGGCAGCAAGGCAGCGCTACGGAACAGGGCAGCACGCACCAAGGATGGAACAGAACCTTTAAGGCTGTGGCAGGTGCACAGCGATGCAGCACTCTGCTATTAAGGGGAGTTCTGAAGCTGCAAGTCCCCTTCCAGCCACCCTTTCGCACCAAGCTTCACCTTTAGCAAATAAAACTTCAGTGCTGAAGTACAGCATCGCTGACGAAGCGCTATTCTAAGCCAGCGGAGGTATTTTTAATCACACAGACGACAGCCGCACAGAGCACATCAATTATTCAGAAGAGATGCACTACAGCAGCCCCGGCCCCGCTCAGACAAACGAGGGCAGGCGGAGCCGCCGCCCCCCGCCCGGGGCAGCTGAGCGAGAGCCGCCGCTGCGGGGAGGCGCCCGGGGGCTCACCGGTACTTCTTGAAGAGCTGGTCGGACTCGCGGAAGCCGTTGTTGAGCAGCATGTTGATGCCGGCCAGCGCCAGCTCCGAGTCCTCGATGGGCAACGGAGCTTCCCCGTCCTCCCGCCGCGCCGGCGGCTGCTCCGAGCCGGCCATAACGGCGAGGGGGCAGCGGGACGCGGCCGGCTCTGTCCTTCCCTTATCCCTACCGCGGAGGAAGGCGCCGGGTGCCCGCGTCCCGACCACGTCCCGTCAGCCACCCTCCCGCGCTGCAGCGACGCGGAGCCGCCTCGCGCCCGCAGCCCTCGGAACGCGGCGGCGCCCGCCTCGCTCCGTAGCGCGCAGGCGCCGAGGGGACCGCGCATGCGCCGTGGCGGCCGGCGGGCTGAGGGTGGTAATGAGCGGGGGGTCGGATCCGCCCGCGGCTGCGCTGGGTGGATGAGGGGCGAGTCGACGTGGGGGTTGTGTGGAGCCAGCGAGCTTTGGGAGTTGCTGTGAAGGGTTGTGGGCTTGTTGGGGAGGTCTGGAAGCCTCTGGGTCTTCTCTTCCTCCGTCGGTTGAGGGTGACCAGGTGAGGAGGATGACGTTGGGATTCCTCCTCACAGAAAGCTCTGCCGCCCTCATATGGCCGCTGCCCCTCCTCTGACCCCCAGCGGGCGCTGATGTAAGCTTGGAGGGAGTTCTTTTGTGGAGCTCTTTACACACGCACACATATACATATGTATATTTTTACCTTTTCTTTCTTTCCTCAGTTGCTGCAGCGTTTACCACTTCTTCACGACCCTCCTCACAGGCAAACAGCAAATTGATGTGAGGGTTTCCACAGGATCCACTAGGTTTTTCCTTTGGGTGAAAGGAATTAAGACCTCTCCTAACGTGTCTTTCCTTTTGCAGAGCAAATAACCTTCTTCTTCTTCTTCTTCTTTTTTTTTTCGTTTTCGGATAGCGATTTTAATTAGCAGCAGCATTCACTCAAGCAGCGACTGCAGTTACTTGTTTCTAGAGCAATGCTCTTGACTTTCCCAGCCTAAGCCCAACAGCTTTGGGGTTTTTGCTCCCTGCCCCTCAACACCTGTATTAGCTGTAATGTGAACCCGCCCATGAAGCTGGCAGCAATAATCACAGCGTTTTGCAAGTTGTCTTCAGCCTAGTTTTGCACATTGTTCCAAACAATGGATAAATGAGAATGTACACCTGCAAAAATAGATCCATACCAGCTCCAAAGAGCCAAGTACTGGACTGAAAATTCACACGTGATATTTTCACCCCCCCCGTTGCAGGAAGAACAATTTCTTTATTGTGCTTAAATAAATTTAGGTAGAGACAAAGGCTATTGCCTACAGCCTGGCCTTTCTCCTGCCAGCTAGGGCAGTGCTACAGCTCAGCTGCTCTTGTGAAAATTGAAGTATCGCTCTTTTTTTTTTTTTTTTTTCCTCCTCACTAAAATACAAAAGAATGGGACCACAAACTATTTTTAGAACCAACCCCTTTTCCCAGTCAAGAAAAACATCTTTTTTCCTGTGAATCAAGTAACAGTATTTCTGTACATTTCCTATGGGAATAGCTGCCACCACCTAGGGAAATATTCTGTACCTAACCCATCTTGGAAGGGTGCTTTTTGAAAAGTGAGGAATCTGTAATGCTGGGAGCCTTCTGAAATCTGCCAGGTACTAATCAGGTGCTTTGGCTGATTCCCAGCCCCTCTGGACAAAGCTTGGTACTCAGGTGGTTTAAATAGAACATGCCTTCTGTTACACTGCACATCTACTAAAGAGCATCTCCAAGGCTTTCGGGAAGTCAGCATAGAGGGTGTGGGGAACCACATGCTCTCCCATGCATTTATTGCTCATCTGTGAAACTTGGCCTCCCATATCAAGCAGCCTCATAAAAAGTAAGTTGCAGCTTGCAGTTTAGTGTTTCAGCTGTGTGTAGGGCACTGCATTGCAGATAACTATATAGGAGTAATTCTTTTTTTTTAATTATTTATTTTTATCTCCCATGCAGGATTTTGTGGGCAGGGAGTGGTTTATATTTTGATTTCCCTTAGCCACGTACAATCAGTTTGGCCAGGAAGCAACGAATCCTGTGGGTTCTCTGAGAATCAGGGATAGGGGAGGCAAACTCCTACCTCTGAGTACTATTTCTGTAGGGCAGTGACAAGCCAAGTCCTTTGTGAAACACCTGCTTCTTTTCCAAAGCTAGACCCTATTTCCTCACCCCCCTGGCTGAGTAATAGTGTAGCGGATATGTGTGCTCTCTACAGCTTTTTTGTTCTACAGGGCTCTTGCCCTCAGGAGCAAGAATTCTTTGAGGTCTTCCTTCTAGCACCCAGACTGTGCTCAGGCAAGGCAATGATCATGTTTTCTGTTATGTATGCTTTTGTAACTCTTCGATAGATAGCTATTAATTTTGAAACACCAGTGGTGAATATTTAAATCAAGTCTCCAGAAACATGGCTCTAAATCTGTGCAAGAACTTGGCAGAACAGTTCTGTATTTCAGCTGCTCTGGTAGAAAAGTAACGCATTTAAACATCACTAATGAAGCAGTATGACACCTGCAGTTTGCATGTAAGAGTGTAGCAACAACAGTCTTGCCATATTGTTATGGACTGCATTAGAACTGCATTTTTTGGAAGAACTTGATTAGAAACCTGCAGGGCTGTAAGTCTGCCAAGTAACAGCAGACAAGGTCTTGTGATGGGTTACCGTTAGTTTTATTCAGATGCAGGATGTGGTACTGCTGATTCAGCCTACCAAGAATGGTCTGGGGAGCACAGAAATAAACAGTGTGACACACGTTACTTCTACTGGCTGATCTAAGTAGGTATGTACTTCCCAATATCAACACTATAGACATCTTTGTTGTTATATACATATATTTTAATCTCCGACAGCATGGCATCATCGGTGTGATAGGCGCACACAAGAATTTCAGCCAGTAATTTCAGGAAAGGTTCAACCAGTGACCAGCTTTCCGCTTACCCCACAGCTCAATGCAGTTCATCATTGGATAATCTATGTTACTGTTATCTCTCTTATATAAAGAGATTGAGCAAACTGGTTTGTAATCACTGAAAGACAATACAGTAAGTTAACGATGGGGAGCAAGAACTGTACTGTAAGTAAATTAACTGGTCTAAATTCTCCAAGATCTTTACTCTGTTTTTCTTAGCACTTGTTAAAGAGATAAAAGGCAAAGTAGCTACAGTTTTTGCACTCTATAGGAGATGAAAATGTAGTATTTTTATAGTGCCTTTGCAGGACAATGTTGTCGTATTTCAATATAGTCTGTACCTTTGGATACTAAATTGCTCTTCCAAGCTTCTGACCTGTCTTTGTGCTTCTGACAGTCGTCATCTTTATAGAATCCTTGAGTTAATAACTTTTTCAGCAGTATTTTTCCTCCATAAGTCTAACTGGAATTTAACACTACTATAAATTCCATGAGTCACAGAGAATGGCAAAAATGGTAGTAAGAGGGAATCAATTATTAAAGAAAGCATAAAGATTTATCTACAGCATCAGAGAGAAGGAGTTAGAAACAAGAAATATGCTAATATTTTTTTGAGTTTCATTTGTTCACTCTATAAATTAAGTCCCACTTGTCCCAAGGCCCTTCTCCACTGTGTCTGGTTGAGGCAATCCAACCCCTTGCTGCTTGCTCAGAGTGCCCTAAATCTTTTTGCCCATTTTGTTCCAAAATTCTACATCTATCCTGGAATACCTCAGTAAGCCTGATTCGATTTACACTTCTTAAGATGGAGATAAAATTTCAGCACTGAATTTGGAATATTTGATCACGAGCAATTAAGCTAGAGTCACTGTTCATTTAAGTAAAGGGAAGTAAAATCTTTCAGGATTGCATTAGCATTTCTCCTGCATTGCAGAAAGCCTGACTGTACATGCATATAAAGTATGGAAAATACTCGTGAAAATCTGAAGACTTCTCCCACATTTTTTCAGTTTCTAATACAAACCTGCAGAGCCAGCTGCTGTAATTTTGAATTCCTTTGGAAGGTGTGCCATTCCAGTTAAATATCAGGTGCATCCCCACTGCTAATTATGCAGGGGTGTAGGAATCAAGGATGTAGCTCTCTATTCTGCACGCTGTTGGAAGGACTGCTCTCTGTGTCAGTGACTCAAGCTGGTGAATACGCAAAAGTGAGCATCCTCTCTTTTTGAATATATTGTATTTTGTAAGGAAAACAATATCAAAGTTTTCTTAAGTACATTTCTAAGGAAATGTAATTTTCAAGCAGCTAAAGCCACTTGTTCTTGTGCTTTGTGCCTCAGACAGTAGCGGTGGGTCTCAATAATGAAGGTTTCTCCCTATTGTGTCTTATCGCTTCAATATTAATGAGTAGTGAGCTCTACATCTGTTATCATCACGCATTTTCCACACAGAACAGCAACTGAGCAATACTACAAAGCTAAGCTAATCTTCAGAGCTTTCTCTTCATATTTTCCTATTAACATCTATTGTCATTTTAAGGGCTAAACCCTGCCTAAGGACATGCATTGAAATGACTATCTCTTCTGTCAATAAATAGGGACCATGCATACATCTCCTGGTAAAATGAAACACACTTCACGAGCCTCTTCATCCACATTATTCCAGGGGTACTGAAATTGGGTCTCTTGACTCTTTCCTCTGATTAAAGAGTGTTATAATAGTAGCTGTTAGAAGAATAATTTCTGCCTGTGGCAGAGGATTTTAATCCAGTATCTACTGCTTCTTCCTCTCATAAACTTTCAGTTTTTCTTACTTATTTTTCATAGGCAACCCTTCCTTTATTGAGAGCTACCATTGGAAAGCAACCGATCCCTCTGTCCTGCTCTCTTGAACATTCGTTTGTGGCTTCTCTTTTTTGTTTCGTCAGAATATGCAGTCTGTGGCAGTTTTGCACAGAGAAGTCATGGGGATGGCTGGGTCAGAGGACATAAAGTTCCTGTAAAGTCTAAAAGGAAAGTGAAACGTGAGATGGAGCAAGTAAGAACAATTTCTAACTATTATTAGCTGGTGCTGCTGTTCAGTTTTTGCTGTTTAGTTGGTGATGATAGTTAATATTTTGATTATATTTGATAATGTTTCTTTTTATCCACACATATAGTTGCTCTAGACCCAATATATAATCAGTCACATAATGAGATGAAATCATGTGCGGTCACAGAGTTATTTTTACTCAAGCATATGAAGGTGTGTACTTCTTGCTATATAAAATATGCTAAGTGGCAGGGCGTTTCGGTGTGTTGCTTATTTTATCCTGCAGAATTTTTCTAATCACCAAGCATATGCACACAGTTCCAAAGAAAACAAAGGAATGCAGAAGTATTAAATACTTACAGCTGCTCTGCTGAGGCAGCAGCCACATGCTGGCCTGTTGTATGAGAATTAATTGGGAAAGCTTCTACACAAAATAATCATCATCCGACTCGAATTCTAAGAGCCAATTTAGGATGTCTTACTTTTGGAGAAACAACGTCTTACAGGCTTCAGAACTATATTTGATTGCAAAAATATCTGCTCAATCTGGCACTCCAGAGAGAGTGAAATACAAAGAATAAAGTGATAATCAGAAATCAGCTAATTCTTGTCCAGTCCTTTCTTGGGAGTCAGAATGAGTTCATGTAGGTCATAACAGACAAATCTTTCTCTAAATGTCCTTAAAGTACTTTCGCTATTGAGAGTCTGCAAATTAGATTTCCCTCTTGTTCTTCCTCCAGTGAGTATTGAAAACAATTGATTGTATCTTTGCTACAGAAGAGGGATAAGAGCAAATGAAAACTAGTGAGCTCAGTGACTTGGTGTATGAGAGGGTGAGGTAGGCTGCCCATACTGGGATAAAACGTTATTTGTTTGTATTATCAAACCCTTGGTTTGATACTGTGGAAAGTTGGTTGGGTTCCTATGAGCATTTCTTGTTTTAGAACAAATAACAAACTCATTCACCCTGATCTTTTGCAAGCAGGACATAAATCTTAAACATCTAATCCTTTTTGCTGATCTGCTTTGGAGGTTCTCTCCAGTCTTCCTGCATTTCTTGTTTGTGCATGAAGCCATTTCAAAGTTCTGACATATTTGAAAAGGAGTTATCTCAATATATTCCCTTGTATGTGTGTATATACACTACACTATATGTGTAGTGCTCACAAACAAGTCATTTGCCCAGTGACTAAGGATGGGCCTTTGTGCTTTCAAATTTACGTTAAAAAATGAGTAGTCAGCAAGGCCACAGATAGCAAATGTAGCAGCCTTGGTAAGTGCCCTTTGTGCTGGTATTCCTCTTAGTTTAGAAATCAGAAATCCTTGTTGAGTGTATTTTTAAGTATTTAGAATGAAATAATGTCTTGCTAAGGCATATTTTCCTTTTACTAGTTTCACAGTAAATATTTTTTTCAAAGGTGTCAAGCTGCTTGATGCATAATGCAATTTGAAATGTGTAAATGTTACTTGTCGACAACATTCTTACGTTTCTACTTTTGTTTGGAACTTTTGGCATTACATGCACTTTATATTTAGCATCTTAACATTTTCCACTTGCTTATTCCTCAGTCCTTCACTGCAAAAGTAGAATGGCCTCTGTTGGGTTACAGAGGTGTTATTGTGGTCATGTTAGACTTCAGGGTTGTTTTTCAGTTTTGAAATCTGCAGTCCCTTTAATTCACCTTTCTGAGAGCAGGGAATATTTGGTTAAAAATCCTAGTGAGGAAAAATCAGTAGACCCCATTGACAACAGCTTTATTATGACACAAAACACAGATTTATGTGGGCAGGTTGTTATTTATGCATAGATACATCATCCAGGTCTTTTTATTGAAAGGTAGCCAGGTAGTCACAACTGCCATGACCAGTTCTTGAGGTAAAACGAAAACATGAAGGAGAGACCAGCTGCCACTTGGCTGTGAAAGGCACCTGGAGCTCAGCTTGTGAGGAAGAAGAAGGCATGTGAAGGAGCTGAGGTAGAACTTTGAATCTCCTGGCATTACAGAAAATTGCAAAGTGTGGATTCCTGTGCAGATGTCCTTCTTCAGTTGCATTTTCAGTTTCTTTTTGCTGTAGGTTTTGTAGGTTCCTCTTCAAGATCACACAAACCATGGCCACCTGAAAGTTACCTTGTGTCACTTTCAACAAGAAAACCTTGCTCTTTCATCAAGTCGTTCTTAAGTTCTCTGTGAATCGGTTCTCATATCTATTGTAATGTACAATAACTTTGTACCTGTCTGTGCTTCAGTACTGGTGCCATAAGATTCAGCAGTTTACAACCACCTCAGACAAAAGCATCTTGACTTTCTATAACTGGAACAGACCACGCAGATTACATTCATTTCAGCAGCTCTGCCAGCAGTGTATATGCCTACAAAGATGGTGAGCTTCTTCCCCTGCATATGTGCTCTGTTAGCTACTGATATCTTTGTCCCTGATTATTTCGGTTCCTTATGTTTTCGGAGTTTAATCCTGTCTCCTGGAACACAGTGCTCTGTTCTTTACAAAACTCTTCTCCGAGGCTTGCACACATAGAGATGGCAACTGGCTTTTAAAAGAGGCAGTATGATCTACAGCATGTATCATAAGACAGAAAAAAAGCCAGAAGAGCATATTGAGAGACAGATGCTACCCCAGATATCAGAATTTTTATTTCTGGATAGTAACTTCTCATCTGCAAAACCTGGGCTTTGGTCTGAACACTTTTGCTTCTCTCAAGAACACATGACTAGTTGTACCATTAATTAGAGGATGCAAAAAAGTCATCTATTTGTATAAACTTACAGCAAAGAGATCATCTTCTATTAAGTATGTATTCAAACAGTATGTCTATTTATATACACTCAGGCTGCAGCATTCTCTGGAGAAGACAGCTTAGGTAGATGTGTGCTCACATCATTTTTATTCTAGTAGTTTTTCTATCATAAATATTTGATTGAATTCATACAACGTTCTTTCCATTTTGATGTGTAAAACTATAAAGCAGACATTGAAGTATGTATTTGTTGTTTGAAGATATTATTTTTGGCACCTGGCATTTAATGTGAAATAGAATTTAAGAATCTAGAAGCTGATGTTTGACTGGCTAGATTGTGAGTTCCAAAAGGAAATTAAGCAGAACCAAGTGTTATCTCTTGATACTTAATGAAATCAGCAGGAGCGTACCATTGACTAAGGTTCTGTTCTCTAAAATAAAGTGATTTCTCCCTTGTTTACCATTAGGTTTTCCCATTCTTCCACTTCTGGAAACACAGGCTGTTTGTTTGGAACACACTCTCTGTCCCATCTGGTTTGTAACATGTTCCTATTTGGGCATTTGTCAGTCGAGGGAAGTATGTGAGTTAACAAACATTTCTGTGAGTTAAACATTCTCTGAACGACGCCTATCAGAATGTGGGTATCAGAAGTGGCAGATAGAGCATGTGCTCAGCAAGAGAAACGCTGCATTGCAGATTAAAGGAAATGGCAACGTCAAGACTCTGTGTTCATCTAATGGTAATCACAACAGGGACTTGCAAATCTTAACCTGCTACAAAGTTCTAATGAAAATAACAGCAGAATCAGCAGAATGACAAACGTAATACCCTCCTTTGATTATTATTTTTTTAAGTGTATTTGGATTTTGAAAGCATCCCTGCCCTTAAACAGCACAGTGCCTTTTAAAGCCACATATCAAGTGACTTGTTCTGTACTGACTCACTATTTATTCTTCTACCAACAGTGTTTTGTGAAGCTGAGAGCTACCAACCATGTAAGTACCTTAAGCTGTGTTGCGTAATTTTAGCTATTATGAGTTATGCACAGCAATAAGCAGAGTAATACAGTGACAAAAGCTATGCTTTTACAGGCCATTTTTTCCTGTTTTCCCCTTCAAGACATAGCACAATCATCTTTTATTTTTTTTCAGTACACTCTCCCTTTTTTCATTCCATTAGCATTTTTCTCAAATGCTTCCAGAAAACATTCCCCTTTTTATCCTTCCATTCCTTTCATTTATTAACTCTTTCACTTACCTATTTTTAGAGGGTTGTAAGCACATGGAAATATATATTCTATCTCACATCTATTTTACATGCCTTTCACGTAGGGTTCAGCCTACATTTTCTCCTTGGGTTCTCAAGCTTCAAATCATATAAAGCACACAAAGCAGTTCATATGTACTACTTTCCTTGGTGTAAGGTGGAATTTGAGAAGATACGCATGAACTCATCTCTGTGTCTGGCTCATCACAAAACCAGTACAGTCAATAGAGATTTCTTTCAGTGCTAGCACCAAGACACTGAAAAATAGGAAGGTAGAGAAATGCTGGCAGACCTACTGCCATGGATCCAAGCACCAAATTATCATGATGAACTGCAGCATCATAATACAGAGATGCCAGGAGCTGGCTGCACTTTATCTGGGTACCTCAATACTAGAAAGGATCAGCAACAAACGCATTTACAATGACATATCTTCCCTATAATTGGAAGTAGAAGATAATTCTTTCTGGCTTGTTCTTTTCTTCACTGTGGCCTGCTGACAAAACTGTACAGAGGCTTGGCAGTACAGCTAGGCAGTACAGCAATGCAATTATTAGGCCTGCAGTCAAGTGCTGCATCCCTCTTCAGGGAATTTATTCAGTGAGCTTCTTGCTGCTCCAGATGGATCCTTGGGAGCTTGAAGCTGGGTTTGTTGCTGCCATGTCCTCGTATGTTCAAGATGGTGATGGGTGCACGTTTTGGAGTGGACTAACTAACTCCCCTCCACAGATGATAGAAGGACAACTTAGAGTAGATACCCAATTTTTATGTAAATAGAATTGTGAGATGAGTAACCGTACTACTCTGAAAACATTATGGGTCTTACTGAATTCAAGCAGATGTTGTATCACAAGTCTCAGCTGAGCAGTGTCATATCCACACAAGCCCTTGTCTAGCCTTTCCATTTGTTTAAAATCAAGAAGGTTCACATATCTTGGAACTTTCTGTGGATCCCAGATAAAAAAATGAGTTAACTGATGCTAATAGTAAAACTCTTAACATTTTTGTCTGGATTTGGTGGTGGAATGTGCTCTCATAAGCATAGCTATGCCTGAATTGCAGGTGCATGTAACAGTGCTTGTTGGTGCCAGCCAGGCTGGTTTTATGTATTGCTGTTACAGGACATTCACAAAAGCCCCGCATTAGAGTTCCCCACTGAAACATAGGCAGCTTCATTTAGTCTATATGAGAAGAAAAATGTTTTTTCCGGCGAGGTCCTAATATGTTTCTGAAGCTGCAGTTATACTTTCAAACTACTGCCTGACGCCACATGGAATAATCACTGTAATCCAGACTGTGATACAGTTCCATTGAGTCTAACCACTGCACAGGGCACAGTGGTCCCCTCGATTACATCCCAGTCCTTTTCTCTCCAACTCGTGATTGCCTTTGTTAGAGCCTATCCTGTTAGTATGTTCTATTTTAGTATACAGATAAATTAAAAGATGTAAAGCCAGAGGCTATAATTCAGGAATAGATGACGCAGTTTTTGGTTTTCACCAAACTAGAATTTAGTTGTGCTTTGTAAATGACCCTAAATGCTATCTCTTGGTTGTAGCCCTGAGCACTTTCTGTTCTGCCTGTCTAGAGAATGTGACTCTATTACATGAGAAATGAGGGCACTTGGTCTAGGCTACCATGTGCTGCCCACAACTCCATTGCCAGAGGGTTCTCTGGTAAGACAGACATAGTGCTTATACAATGGGATAATTTTAAAATGACTTTCATAGGTCTGGAGTGGAAGTGCCAGGGTCAGTGTAAGTTTCTTCGTAGCTGAAAGGAGGAGGAGAGAACCCCGCTTTTGCCAAGGGCATCTGCTGAGATTCTCAAGCACAGAAGATATAATGGTGGGAAGTGAGCAGTTGAAAGGTACAACTGGGAACAAAACCAGCTCAGCTGGGAGGCAGGCAGAGGCATTTGCATTTGGGCTGCTTGTATCACATCTTACACAGAGAGCAGTTTCTGCTAGAAATTCGTATATCAGAGGACGTTCATGCTAGTCAAAGCTGTATTGCAGGGTTTAAACTCAACCGTGTAGCTGTCTACACAAACGGAAAGGAGGACAATACTCTGCCTTGCACAGTGCTCAAGGGGCGCTCCGAGGGAGATGGCAGGAAAGGCACGAAGGGGTGTGAGAAACTATGACTAATTGCTGTTTGCAGCTGTGGATGGACACGTGTTTAATTATCTGCTACATGTATGCATATTTCATTTGCAGTCACTAGAGCCCAGATGTTCCCTGGCATAATACAAAGTATGACAAACAAAAGGAAAAGGTTCGGAGAGCCGACTAAGAGGGGCTAGGAGGGGCAGCTTCATGCTGTATTCCTTCCTACTGTATGCTAGGCCTGTCCTGACATTTTTCTGACTTCCAAGTGCAGATTTGTACATCCGTAGAGAGAGATGAAGCCTGAGAACAGCCACTGCCAGCAGCTCCCAGCCCAAGCCAGCAGCAGGGGGCTGAGGTGGGCTGAATGGAGTTGAGCACCCAGCAGTAACTTGGAAGGGAGCAGAGGCTGGGCTCCTGGCTGCCTCCACACAGCCTGCGACTGTCCAGCAGAGCAGCACTTCTCTGTGTTCCTGGCTTGCTTTTCTCCTCAAGGCATTTCCCTTGGTAGGGGTACCTCCTCTCCTAGCAGTCTTAAGGCTCATCTTTCCTTCTTCGCCTTTCTTTCTTCTTCATCACAAGTCTTTTTCCACTGTCTAGGCTTGCATCTGTTCTTACTGCTTTTTTTTTTTCCTACTGCTAAGAAGTCAGTATTTTATCACAGAAATAAAATTGAACATTCTTTTAACTCTTTGTAGGAAAACGCTTTTTGTAAGATCTACACGTTGCATTCCCAACACTCAGAAACAGGAGTCCAGACAAACAGGACTACCGCCTTCTTCTGTCGGCCCTTATCAGGTAACAAAAAAGCAATGCTGATTTATACTGATCCTGCACCTGGCCTTTGTTCTGCTTCAAGGCATTCAACCTTTCTTTGAAAGGTTTAACTTATTCACTCCCATTTAATTAAATAACAGCTATGACCATTAGTGTTTTTGTAGTGTCTGTTTTGAATTAAATTTGTTCTGAGCGTATGTATCATGTTGATTCATTTTATCTTTCACAATATATGCAATATACAGAGATTTAACAATCACATCTTTCTTTTGTGCACAGAGGTAACAAAATTCCCAGAAAGACTTTTTTTTTAAGCCTGACAAAGGCACAGTGGGACCAGTGCAGCTTCTTCAGGTGTGAAGGATCAGAGAAGAGCCTGAGGACAGGTAGGGTCAGAGGAATGGGCTCATGGCTGTCACTTTGGGACACCCCTGCAGTCCCATCCTCATCCCAAAACCTGTCATTCACAGTTTATTTCTTTGGCCTCCCTACTTCCATCCCTAATGCTGCTGTGAACACCATTTGTGTTGGTGAAAAGTTTACATTCATGCGTATTTATGGAGAAAAGGGTTATGTCAGGTTTTCTGCAGCCTCTGTCTTGCCAGTTATTGCATAATCAATTTAATCTGCAATAAAAATTCTCTATAAAGCTTGGCAATAAATTTGAGTGCAGTTTTATAAACTGTACATAGAGCCTTATGCATGTTTTAATAAGGTGTATGAGCCAAAGTCCTGTGCAGTGGTTACATCTTTCCATTAAGGCACTGAACTTTGGATCATGCCTACACGTTTTTTTGGAGAATTGCCCAGAGCGCCTTTAGCTTCTTCTCTACTTCAGTTTCTCTGTCTCCAGGGGTATGCCATTACCTTTGATTTAACTGAATATAGCAAAGAGAAAGATAGAACTTTCTTGCATACTTGTCACCTTGCTCTGAGCTAAGTTCTATTCCTGGGAAGCTTTGCCTTAGCTACAGGAATTGGTGATAGAGAATACAGCTAACCCTCCAGGTATATAGTATCCAGAAAGCAATTCCCATTGGGAAGTAATCAGAAGGGGCTAGGAATAAGATTTGTGGCAAGTGTCATTACTTCACAAGGTAAATCCTCTATACAAAGAAGTATCTTATACTGATAGAACTTGGCTCAGAACCACAGAAGGGCTGAGTTTGGAATGGACCCCTTGAGGTCATCTGGTCTATTGACTGCTCAAGCCAAGTCACCCACAGCCAGCTGCCCACAACCATGTTCAGAATAACATAATAGTTATGCTATTAACACAGTGTTAATTGCAACTGTGTCTGCAAGAGCTGGACACAGAGCCATTTATTTTAGTATACTTTAAAACTGCTCTTTGTTATCAATTCAGGACTGAACAATTAGATCTGAAAAGTTTTTTCCAGGCTTAAATTCTAATAGTGACAGCTGCCTTCCCTATTAATTTATGAAGAACTAAGATCCTCATGCATGCAATTATTCATTCTTAGCAGCACACAGTTCTGTGACAGGAATCTTTGGCATAGGCTCATGCACAATTGAGAAACCCATTGCTGTTCCAAGTTAAATATAACTGAACAGAGACAAAAGCTCATGGATGCCAACTGTCTTTTCATCCCATGTAATAATGCTCAATTTTTATCAACAAGAAGGTGATAACCTAACAAAGAAGCTACACCTCACAGAATGCTTCGCATTCAGAACCACCTGTAAGAAAATACAGTAGTTGGCTGACTGCAAAGTAGCAGTAGATGGGTGTTAAAAAAAATATTTTGCATGCTACCAGTTGCAAAACAGGAGAGAGAGCATGGTATGAAAACAGGTCAGAACTTGATTTCATTGCTACAGAGGGTCCCAAAAAGTGACAGAGAAATCAAAATTCATTGGTTATTCTGCTTTCAGCTCTTTATACTCAGAGGATGCTTCGGTGCAATTCTGGCAGCTTCTTGCTGTTTTGGGATGTCTGGGCCAGCTGCGCAGAGGAGGTTTATGCTTACATCTTGAAATCTTAATGTCCCAAGTGCAGCTATACCGTACTATTATGGCACTACCCCCTGTAACTTAAAGTATTTCCTTTTGCCAGGGACATCCATTTGGTGTATTTTTGGAACATGAAACAAAGATAAATATACAGAAGACTGGACATCATCTTTACATCACTGGAGAAAGATGCTGAAGTTGTTGAAATGAGGAAACCACAAAGAAAATGGTAAGAGGCAAAAAGCATGGCCTGAGCTCATTTACAAAGTCACAGTGCATTTACAGATTTCTTAGTGAGACCACATTTTTCAGGCTACACCGCTGTTTTATGAGGAGAAAAAAGGAAATAGAGGGGGTGGAAAAAACAACAAACCAACCAATAAGTAATTCACCAGGGACTCCAGAAGAGGCAAAGCTCCAAGAAGGAGCCCTTCCTAACAAGCGGTTGTAAAAGCAGAGTGAGTAACTCACACTGCTTCCTACTGAAGTAAAAGCATGGGGGCTCTGCATCTGCAAGAAAGCTCCACAGCAGCAGCATAGTATTCAAGCAGTCTCCAAAGATGTTTCACTGGGATACTTTTGTTTGTTAGAGTCAGAAGTAATAATATCATTAATAAGCAGTGAGTGAATTATATTTCCCTTGTATTTACACACTTTTTTTTCCTACAGTAACCATATGTTTCTTCTGAGAATGCCCTGTGACCTACTTCATTTTGTTTGCCTGCAACTCCCACTGTTAGCTCTGCTAACTTCTTTCAGCTCCCATTATCTTTTGGCTGCGTTTTATAGTTGTAATAGATGGGAACTCACTGACTCGGTGTCATCCACCTCAGGTAACATGCTCCCATTGAATCTAATCTAAATTAATGGAGAAGAACCCTTTGCTCTTGATACTTACACAGATAAGAGAGGCAATAGCAAAACCAATGCCATTTAGTCTAGAGAAGCAATCTGCCCACTTTATGTAATAGATGTCCCATTCAAATAGTCATCATGTCAACCTAAACACAGTGCTAATGTGCCCAATTATTCAGCTATGTACTTGCAGTGCATTGAGCACTGTGTTTCATATTTCCCCATAAAGCTTCTCAAAACCTTCCTCAAAAGCTTGAATTGAAAGAGGAACAAACAGACACTGGAATATAAGTTTTTTTGTTATTATTTTTAAGGTGAACAACAGAAACAAAATTCAGTCTGTAATACCGCTGCACCCTTGAATACAGGTGATGAGTAATAATGCAGGCTTAGAAAGGATGGCCAAGACTGAGAGCTTTAGCAATTTAAAATATTAGCATTACTTAGAGGCTCAAATTGCAAATAGTAAAGATGATTAAAGAATAAGAAAGGAGAGGAAAAGACCCTTGTGGGATTTATTTACTTTTATTATAATAGAGTTATTGATAGATTCAGGGGACCATCTGAAGTGGTATAGTCAAAAGAGGTAAATAATACATGGAAGTAAATAGCAAATGCCAACACTCAAATGATGAAAGCCTTGGAAATACTATTTATAAGAATAAAAATTACATGACAGAAGGTCTATCCAAGGCTCACTTTGCTTTTTTATTCACTTAACGTTCCATTTTAGTACAACATTTGGTCACTTCTGGTCTGCAGTGCATTGGGGAAATTGTTTATTCTAACAGAGATCTTTCCTGGTGAAACTGGAACAAAAGATGTCTTCTCAACTGAAATTTCATGCACCATTAATTACTTGAAATACTACTTAATTCAATCTCTTATTTTTCAAAAGATATTTCACGTGTAAGTGAACTCAGGATATTCTGAGCACGGATCAGGAAATGCATGAAATACAGCTCAGTGTGCATGTGGATTTCTTGAGAATTCTTCATGAGACTGACCTAAATGGGACAACTTCCCTCGTGTAAAAATTATCCGCTGACTCTTCTGAGTTCATCAGCCTGATACACAGCTGGCCATGTTCAGGTACAAAGCTCAGATCTCTGGCTGGCCTTTAGTGATTGTGCCAACAACTTATGACAGCCCAACTCATCGGGAACAATACAACTGAAGCAATCATGGAGGAGAGAAAAACCACCCTGAAAACTGGGGGCTTTCCAACTTTGTTGTTATGTATTAGGATTGTATTGAGCTGATACTTGCTAGTTACTACACCATAGATTTACTGAGGTCTTCTTACATTTTTAATTTATTCTATCAGCATTAAAACTAGTTCTGACAAAATAAAATCAAATGGAAGGGAATTGAAATCCAGGCCTGGCTCCAAGTTGTGATGCAAACATCTTTGCTGTATTCACTTCTTCTGTGTGGAGAAGAGAAAAGGCTTTTTTTTTTTTTTTTTTTTGTGGCTAGGGAAAACCTGCTTTAGAGAACAGTCTGACGGGCAGGAGATACTGAAATGTTACTAGAGGATACCTTGATTAAATTTTAACTGTTCTTCCTTTCTCCTCATAAGAATTATCAGTTCCAGCCAAGGCCAGCAAATAAAATGAAAATTTCCTCACTTTTGGTCATCTAAATATTTTTCAATGTACTTCAAAGGGAGGCGGTTACTTCAAAGGCATCAAGTATAGAATCAAGTATAGAAAAAAATCAGTTGTTGCTCTCTGATGAGATGATTTCCAAATCCAACTCCACCAGGCAGTTGGGTATTCCTTTTCCACATGGCAGGCTGCCACAGAGGAGAAGGGGTTCTGCAGCGTCTCCAGACAGAAGGGGTCTCCCCTCATGTGCCACTCCTCTGCTTGCTTAAAGATCTCAACCCCACTCGCTTTCACCCCATCCCATTCCTGCAGAGTAGCTCTGCAGCTGAGAACCCTCTGCACCATGGAGTTGCTGTAGAAGAGAAGGACTGCAGGACTTTGCGTGAACAGCTTTCTGACAGCCATCCCACTCCAAAGATCTGTAGCTACAAGTACAAGGACAGAGAAAGGAGAAGCCCTGTCAAGTTTATTTGGGCCAAATCTGTATTTAGAAAAATAGAAACTGGGTTCCTCCACTCCACTACGGATCATGATCAGGTGCAAAGATGTGAATGTCAAAGAACACAGTCTGGCTGTTTTCATCCTGCAATTCACACTTGAGAACTGCAGCATGTGCAAGTACTGCTCATAATCTAACTTGCCTTCATTTAATCAGAAAGAAAATCGATCGAGGAAACTTTTGGCTAAGAAACTTACAAGAAAAAATTCTCTGAGGTTTTTAGATGACACAATTCTAAGAAGCAATGATGACAGACTCCTGCTTGTCCAAGCAAACGAGATCCTTAAAGCTACAGAATTACTTGTATAAAGCAAGCTGGATTTAGGTGTCTGAAAAAAGGACAAGAAATACTGGATTAAAATAACGAGGCGAGAAAATGGGTGGCTTTAAGAACATACTGCTTTTATTTGGTTCCAGAAGTTCTAGTATTTCAACAAACTCTCAGAGTTTCACTCCTTAAAGTGCTTCAAACTCCATTTATATTATTATTTTTTAACATTAATGTACATTTCTGTATAAAAATTCTGTTCATCAATCCAATATTTTTATAAATTTTTTTACATCAGCGGATCATATTTGCTCTCAAGATTAGCATTAAGGCAAATTCCTGAAATTAAGACACTGGAATTCCACACAACTATATGCTGTTGTGGATGAGAGCAGAATTTGACCCAGCAGGGTATATACAATTCCTTTTTCTGCATGTTTTCACAGACACAATGAATTACCCCAGGAATCAATGACATTTAATAGGGACTTTATCAAAGCCAATACTTCAAATTTGCTTTGGCGCAATCCACATCCAAAGGATTCATTTTCTTACCAACTACTCTGTGACACAGCAAGCAGCAAAAGGGGAACCCACAAGATACGAATTCACACAGTACTTCAGCAGACCCAACCTGATGCGTGTACGAGCAAAGTTACGTGGCCGGGCACCCACGCAAACTCACAGCTCCATGAACCTCTGAAATTCTCTTGGTGGAGACAGGTTTGCCATTGATGCTAATATTCCAAAGACAGCCAAAAAACGGATCTTTGACTGGAAGCCATTGTGAGTCCAAGTTTGCTACAACGAGGTAGAAGGATAAAGTCAATAAAACAAGAAGGATTTTAAAGATGAACTAAAATGAAGCTCTCAAAAGAGGAAGAACAATATGAATGCATGAATGGACTGAATGCATGAACAGAACTTTCGTTTCAGAAAGGAAGAAAAACCAGTAGATACATTAAAAAACAAACCAGCAATAATTTACCTGGAATTTTGCCGAAGTAGAGAGGCTGATGCACATATTCAGGAGAGAAAGGTGGATGTCCAATGGTGTAGTTACTCTCTGTGCCTACTTCTAGCTGCACAGTGTTCATCTTCTGAGAGACTGCAAAGGAACAAGTAAATGAGAGCTCTTTCTCAACTCTATTGAAGAACCAACCAGCTAGGACACTATTTTAAACCAGCATGAAAAGTCTTAAAATTTAACTTGTAGGAAAAATAGATTTCATTTCAATTCAAAGTCAGATTGACATTTGTAGGTACTCTGGGGCTAAACACAACCAAAAAAAGCCCTCTTATATAAAGTCTTGAATTGACACAAAACACTTACATTGTTCTTAAGAGCGCTTTAAGAATAAGCAGAGAAGAAATGATCAACTAAAATCTGTGGCTGCAATGCTCTGTGCCCACCCTTCTTTCCAAATTTCAGAATAACTGGTGTGATACAACATACCTGCGATTGTATGCCACTGTCCATTAGTCAGAGATTGCTGAGGTGTGACTGATGTCTGGAATTCTCCAGCTCTACCATTTCCAGCAGCAATGACCTGTAAAACAGTTTTGGGTTAAGTTACCACAAAGAAAGGAACAGAAAAATACAGTAATTTAAGTAATTTATTGAACTTGTGGAGGGCTAGGCTTCACCTAGTTTAAGAGTCAGTCATTGTATACCTAATCCAGAAACTTTCCGAGCAGAATCTCAAGAACGAATATTTTACAAGTTTTAAAAGCAAAAATACATCTTATTTAATGCTTTTAATGGTTTTGAAATAATCTTTCTGCATCAAAGTCTTTTCTTCTACACCTACTTTTCCATTTCCAAAGCAGTCACCTACACACTTCACATCTCCAGAGAGAATCACTGCAGTATATTTCTCTGGCCCTTCACATAATTTGGTCTACTTGTAATTCACTCAGGAAGCTTGCAGCCTGATTATTTATTATGACATCTCCAACAAGAATCTGCTTGTGTTTTCTCACATCTTTCTCCTTATTCCCTGTAAGCAGGCTATTTATCATTAACATCATCTTCTCTTTTGGTAATGGCCAAGTAGCTGATATGCTGAAATCCATTTTCTACCAGGTTCCTCTGATGGTGTTCCATTGACCTGTTATTACTTCCTATTGCATCCTGTCCATGCTAACAGCCAGCATGAATCTGAGTTACTGCTGAAAAAAGTGTCTGATCTCATCCTCAAGTGCTTCCCAGCTGTTGGTGCCCCTGCTTCTATGTGCTTTTGTGTTCTGTTGAGCAGAGACATCTTTTTATTTGAGGCTTCTACAGAACCAAGCACAACCAACAGTTTTGCGGTCCAAAATTCAGATTCTGAGGCTATCACATTACAAAAAAAAAGCCAAAAATAAAACAAAAAATCAACACTAATGACACACCTGTCAACTAGAGAAGTAACTTGCAAGCAAATCTAGGAGACATGGGTAGTTTTTGCATAGGGTATTATCCCTCTAGATTATACAATATCAAGAAAAGCCTGAGAAAATGAAGACTGTGCCCTACTGCTGACATGTGAAGAAAACACATGCAAGCTAGTGTGCACACAACGGAATCTGGTAGTGTAGGCATAGAGACAGGCTAAATGCTTAATTTTCTATGCAGTGATAGTGAACTCTAAGGAAGTTGTACAGTGTTAAACCTGGAGACAAACGTAATACATAAGCCCAGAGTTCAAGGTCAGAACTCCTCCCTCCTGAATGAGGGTAATACAGCTGTAATGGGATTGCAGCCTGTTCTTACCTTTCCTTCTTTCATGTAAATAGTCAAGTAATTTCCTGGCTTGGTTCCAGAATGGAGGAGTACACCTGTTGAACTCCTTGGACGAATGGCAAATACAATCCTAAAATCTAAGCCCATTTGCAAATTACCTGTGGAGAGTTAAAGAGTGGTTAGAGGAATAACTGGAAATCATCATAAAAATACATACAGAAAACATCCTTCTACACTCATACATACACATTTAAGGTATATATCATAATCTCTACATAACTTACCAACAGCAAAGTATCCTCCTTCCTTAAAGAAATGAATCCCCATCTCCATGGGAGCATCCAGGCAGGGAAGCACATCCTTTTTTTGCTGAGGTGCGTTCATGACTTTTCCATTCATCTTAAAATTCCTCAGGCAACCCTTGAAACTCTTCATTGGTATATTCTGAAACCATGTTTCAAAACGTGAATACCAAAGCACGATGGCCATCTTTTTAGTAAGACTATCCATTAGATCTTTTGTATTGTTGGACTGTAGACAGCCACTTGTCATTAAGGGTACCTAAACCCGCTCTCTGATGCAGTGAAAAGAGATCTGGCAATTAAAAGTGCTTTAAATATTACAGTAAGAACTGAATTTGAGTTGATGT